GACAAGGCATAGTCAACAACCTTTGCTGTTGCCTGAACATGAGGGAGGGTTCCCTCTCCCGGAGGTGCCGAGGTGACTGTCCATTGCCTTGCTTTCTCCTGCCTACGGTTACAAAAGGGCTTCACTCTTGGTGATGTCTTTTAGTGTTCCTTACCTGATCTCACGTGTCGCTGGCTCCATGATTGCAGCTCTTCTGGGAGCAGAATCCCAGTGAAGAGTCTCTGCATTAGCATCATGACACGTGTGAAGCTTTAGCACTCTTAAATTATGCCTCCATTTCCTGAGTTTGCTTTTTGAAAGCACAGAAATGAGATTCCTCTTAACAGGATGTGAGGAGGGAATGATGGTGATCTGGGCTGGCTCCTGCCACTGGGGTGGGGTTCAGCAATGCACCGGGGGGGGGGGGAACGGTTACGGTTATGAAGTGCATCCTTAATACTCACTGTGCAGTTCTAGCAACAGATTCATTGCGTTCAGGATAGGGATATGATGCCACTGCAGTGTAGTGATTGCTGGTAGAGGCCTGTTTGGGGGGTTTTAAATGCAGTTTCTATAATACATTTCCCTGTAGTAGAACACTTTAGTCCCATGTGTGACCTTAAGACTTCTTTAAGGTTATGTTGAGTGGATTTCTGCAGCTCAAAATGCTTAATACTGTTTTAACAGAAATCTTGCTGCAACTTTACTTTGGTTTTAGTTGATGGCAGATTCTTAGCTAATGTGTTTCATTAAAGTATGCTGTGTCTCCTGCATATGCATCTGTAGACCTCCTGCCTCCATGGAAGCTCTGCAGACGCTCCTTTTGAGATGCAGCCATGGAAAACGTGGTGTAGGATTGGAACAGAAACTGTGCAGGTGATGTCTTGTGGGTGAGGGAAGATTTCTTTCTTTTTTACCTCTGTCAGCCTTTTTAAGCTGTTTTTTGCCCACAGTCGAGGCACTTGGTGGTCCTGGCTTCATCACCCATATGTGGGATTTCCATGGGACGGCAGTGTAGAACATTGTTAAATGCGAGGTGACAGTGGGAGGATGGTGCTGCTGCAGGTTGGGAACTGAGCTTCATGGGGTTTCTTGTGAAGATCGAGCATGGTGCTGTCTGACTGCGCAGCTGTAACCGCACATGAGGGTCTCATCCTCACCAGCATGAGACCACCTCACCAGAAGCATTAACTTTCGTCTCACACAAGAACCCTGAAACTCCCTGCACTTGCATCATGTATGTGTTGGCGGCTTAATTACTAAAAAGTTAGAGCTGTCCTCAGAAGACTGATTATTCTGAATAATTTATTTTTACCTAAAACTGATAGATGTACTTCAGGAAAACTATTTTAGTTATCACAGTTTGATGTGGCACTGTGTACCTGGACAGAGGTGGGGCTGAGATCTACAGATAAAACTTTAAAGCTTGAAATTTTGTGGGGGCGTGGCTGATGAAGGTAAGAAGTTTGAGGTTATGGTTTGAGGAAAATCATGAAATGCTGTGGCTTTGGAATAAGCTGGTGAGAAATGCCTCGGGGGAGGACATGTCTGCGTTTTAGAATATAAAATTGCTTCTGAAGTCTCAGGAGCTGAGCAGTATTCAAAAAAGAATCAAGTGTTTAAAAGTAGGTGCAGAATGAAAGACAAGTCTTTCTGAGGCCACAAAGACAATCAGGCCATGTAGACAATCTGTTTTCACTTGTGTATTTTGAGTTAGGAAGAAGATGGCAGCTAATGGCAGCTGATTTGAAGTGGAAAAGAAGGATTTGTTGAATTACTGGAACTGGATTATTTTACTCCAGCGTAGGATTTCCTATTTAGTTGGATGTACAGAGGGAGGGGAGAAACCATCTTTTCTTGGAAGCATTGTTCAGAAGCCAGTGTTCATACTACATCTCACTCACACAACACGTGTACCTGTGCTACCTGCTACTTCTTGTTCTCTGTCTACTGAAACTTTGGTGCAGAAGCTCCTTGTTTACATAAAGCACTTTCTGATTAGGCTGGAAATTGACACCTTTTCTTCCTATAAATTTGATGGAGATGACAGATTACTGACTATTTTGCTTGGATAGAGGTATAAACATTGTTTTCTTGAACGAGGGAGACTTGTGCTCCTTGTTCTATTAAAGAGAGAGCTCAGACTTGTATTTAGTGAGCAACATGCAAAAACTTCTTATTCCCTTTTCCCCAACTACCCTTCCTCTTTTCCTTAATATATGGATGAATAACTTAATTCCTAAAACACATTTTTTCCTTTAAAATGTTTTGTTGTCCTACGGAATTACTGTAGTTGTGTATTAGTAACTGCTGTGTTGATTGGCAGTTTCCTGTTGTATTTTTCCTGTTCTTAAGGACTTTCTCTTATGAAAATTAAGGCTGTGGCCACTTGTACTTTTAAAGCCTTGGGTTTTGGTCCTGGAATGTCCCAAATGTTTGTCTTAGGGTTTTCTTTGGTCTGGGTTTGGTGGGGGCTTTGAGGGGGTTGGGTGTCAGTTTTGTTTGGTTTTTTGGTTTGTTTGTTTTGGTTGGTTTTTTTGGTTGGGTTTTTTTGTTTGTTTGAAAGAACACTAAAGCTGTTTGAGGCACTGTTCCTTCTTCTAATAATTCTATGCTTCTATGGTAGAGGTGGTGCTGAGCCCTGTGGGGTACAGGGAACAGCTGAGAGGGAAACTTGTAAAACCGCACTTGGGGTTTCTGTAATTACCTGTACTGCCAGGAGGCAGCCCTGCCTTCGGCAGCATTATGGATTTGTTTCTTGTCCTTGTGTTGTTACTGGTATAAAGTCAAGTGCCTTCAATGCTAAAGGCTCAGAAAACTTTCTTAAACTGACTTCATGTCCTATGCAAGTGTTTTTTCTACAACCTGCATAACCAGTACTTTGTAAAACTTGTTTACGCTTCAATTGTACATAGTGTTTTTTAAAAAAAAAATAGTATTTTTATTTAGGTACCTCCAAACTTGAATTCTAGTCTTGTGTGATGCATTGTAAAACAATACATTTCTCTTTTGAGTACCATTACAGTTGTAAAAAGGTTTTCACTGGTTCTATTTTTCTACTGTTGCTGAGAAGCATGTAACACTGACTTTATCCTACATATAGTTGGCATTTCAAATAAATGGCTTGTATAGAACGTGCTTGTGTGACTGCTTCCCGTGAACTGTGACCAGCAGCGCTGGGCTGGCTACACCCACCAACCACCCTGTCCTGCTCGCTCCAGGCCGGCAGTGACTGAGGGCCTGCGGAAAGGAGCGGAGCAACACAAACAGAAAGGTGCCCTCTGACTGTAAAGGCTCCTCAAACTGACAGGGTTTGTTCCTCCTGGGGGAAAAAAGTACCCAATAATGCTTTGAACATCAAAGACATGATATAAAACAGTGTAAAAAGAGGGATTCAGAATCCATGGCACTGATCAGGCAGTTTTTAAAAAGGAAAAAGCATTTCAGTGAAAGAGTTCTGTGAGTTCTGTCTAGAGGCTGATGGACTGAGGCCATTCCCTGTGAAAGGCAATAGGGCTCAGAGCTAGGGCCATGGGACACAGCCCTGGATCCAGGAAGTGTGCGCTCAGCTGGACAGACACATTTAGTACTTGGCACTCCCAAGTTGCAGTTTTGCTGCACTGGCTGACTGTTCATTACATTTCATTCACAAACAAGTGTCTCATTGCTTCAGAGTGATGACTGAAGTTCAGAAGTGTCATCCAGTCACTTCAGTGGTCTCACTTTGATGTACAAGAGCAAAATACTGTGAATTACGTTCTGACAGAGCAGAGGTGCATGAGCACAGCGCGGCTGGGCCTCACTGCAGCACTCCTGTGTGCCCTGGGGCCTCTTAGTGTGTATTTATTGTGGAGGACAACACAGCTTGGAAAAGTGAGGTGTTGGGTTCAGGGTGATCCGAGCTCAGAGCTGGAACCCAGGACAATGATTACCTCTGGGCACCCTCTCCCTCACCCCTTCAGTGAACTACAAAAACAGCAATTTAGAGCAAACATTCCCCCATCCTGCTTTTTTCTGTACTTGCTGGCAGGATGCAAGCCCTTGTTTCACACCTGGGTTAGGTGGAGGCAAAGGTCTAGGAATCCTGGGCTTGACTCAGCCCCTGGGATGTATCTTGGTCATCAGTGGGCTCCCTGTGTCTGCCTGGATCTTAGAAACAAAACACTACAGCAGCACTGAGAAAAAACAAGACCGTACAGATTGAACAGTTCTTTAATTCTTTTTATATTGTAGTTAGATGTGCAGTTACAACTCCTGTAACAGTTGCTACCAAAAAACAGCATGTACAATACCTGGAGTTAAATTTAAAAGCAACTAGGAAAGGGACCTGAGGGTTCTGATCAATGGCAAGTCGGAATGAGTCAGCAGTGCCCTGGAAGCCAGGAGGGCCAACCGTGTCCTGGGGGGCATCAGGCAAAGCATGGACAGCCAGTCAAGGGAGGTGATTGTCCCGCTCTGCTCTGCACTGGGGCGGCCTCGCCTTGAATAGTGTGTGCAGTTTTGGGTGCCATAATATAAGACATTAAACTACTGGAGTGTCCAAAGGAGGGTAACGAAGATGAAGTGTCTGGAGGGGAAGCCATAAGAGGGGCAGCTGAGGTCTGTTCAGCCTGGAGGAGACTGAGGACAGACACTGTGGCAGTCCACAACTTTCTCACAAAGGGAAGAAGAGGGGCAAGCACTGATCTCTTCACTATTGTGACCAGTGACAGGACTTGAGGGAATGGCCTGAAGCTGAGTCAGGTGAGGTTTAGGTTGGGTATGAGGGTGGTTGGGCACTGAAACAGGCTCCCCAGGGAAGTGGTCACAGCCCCAAGCCTGACAGAGTTCAAGAAGCATTTGACAATGCTTTCAGGCACATGGTGGGTTTCTTGGGGTGCCCTGTGCAGAGCCAGGAATTGGAATTGATGATCCTGATGGGTCCCTTCTAACTCAGCAGATTCTATAATTCTATGAAACAGATGAGCTGAGCCTCTATGCTACAACTAGTTTTTGTAAATAAAGTGGTCAGAAACAGTTAATAGTGAGAATGATAAAGGTCTTTGTTCTCAAAAATCATTAACATAGAAGAAGAATAGTACCCCATGGTATAGAAATCCTCAAAAACTAGAACTTTAATGTATGTTTTGGGGGCTGAGGGTAAAGAAAACTAAAAACTACATTAGGCTCCAAAAATTACAAAAAGTCAATTCTTATATGCAGCTAAGTGTAGAGTCTTAAAAGTCAGTGAAACATCTCCCATGCTTATCACAGTGGTTATAAAAAGATTGTGTTTCATACTGTAGCAAAATACCAGGACGCTTCAGGGTTTTCAGCAACATTTATGAAATAGAATAATTTGCTGTAGGCTAGTTTTTGAAATCAAAGCACATTACAAGTCCTATAACAAACCCCCCCATGCTTAGTTTGTAATTCAGTACCTCCTCCTAGATATTGTTTATATTCTAATAAGTGAATTGAGATCATGTGACAATTTTTTTCATGTAAAACATCACTGTACAATATTAGAAACAGGTTTTTTAATGTATAAAACCAGACAGAACATTCTGTTGCATCAAGCCTAACCTCTGATTCCCCATTTCTGACCTGCCCAGGGAGCATTTCCCCAGCGGTGAGCGAGCAGGCAGCAGTGACATGTGGTTTGGCTGCCCCGGAGGGACCCGTGGGTCACCCACAACCACAACTGTGCCCGCTCCAGCCATTGAGGAGCCACAAGCCCTGCACAGGAACAGACACCTCCTGGGTGCAGGAAGCCCTGGCCAGAATTGCTGCACCCCCAGGGGCGAGACAGAGCCATTTACAGCAGGAAAGCAAGGAGCTCATTCCCTGCACTGCAGAGAGGGGAGGGCAGGGCAGGCAGAGCCCACATGGGTTTAGCACAGCCTACAGCTCTAGGCACTGACAGGAGGCTAAAGGCTGAAAGGCTACAGGGAACAAACAGTGACACACTGTTCTGGTAACAAGCCAACTCTCCCTGGAGACAAGGCTGGCTTTTGGGGGAATGCAAAGTTGATCGGTACCGAAATCCCTCTAACTGCAATGGTAAGAACCTGTTAAGAACATGTTTTAGTTGCTACAAATAAAGTAGGAGACAAAATGAAGATGTTTCTTGGACAGCTGGATTTTGATGAGAAGCTGATATACTGAGATACTGAAGATGCCTCTTCTGTTTGCCAGTGAATATTGTTTTCCCAGTGGTCCTTTCAGACCCAAACCCTCTCAGTCTAACTACAGTAGTACTGCATCCTATTAGTCCGTCGCCTTTTCCGTGACTGAAATTCTTCAAAGAAGTGTTGAATGTCTTCTCTTTTAACCACCTAGAAGAGCATGAAACCCAAGTTTTGGTGCAGTGAAAGAGCTCAATTAAAGGATCCCATTTTATCCCCACATGCAATACACAAAGCACGGAAAAGCAAATATCCTGAAGTTTCTCTGATACAGCTCTTCTGTCGCACCCAAAGGAGACAATTAATGCCCAACTTCTACTATAGAGAATAGAAACGAGTTCCCCTAAAGCAGAACAAACACATGGAGCAAAGCTCCCAATGGTACTTTGACTCTTGCTTTTATCATAAGAAAATTTAACACAAAGAAAGATCTTCATTAGCTCACTTCAGTCTCATTCCCATGTAACTATGAATGGCAATACAGCAAATCTGCCACCAAAATGCAAGTGTTAATGAATAATAGCAGGTGCATTCCTGCAGGAAAACAACTGACAAGACTGACAATCATAGGTAGTCCTTATTCTTCTAAGGGTTTAAATTCAATCTAAGAAAAACAGAAAATTTAAGAGCTTTTTTCCCTGAATACTTTTCCTAGAGCAACAGAAGTTTCCTTTAAATGTAAGAACTGCTCTTAGTACTTTGCAAACAGATTTCTGTAAAGTCCCCGTTACCTCTCAGCAATGTCATTAAGGAAATATAAGTGTTAAATTCCAATAAAGTCAGGAATTTCTAATGTCTACTGCAGCACCAGCAACTCCAGAGACAGGAAAAAATATTACAACACAGCCCTCAACAATTCTGTAAAACATGTTTTCTGGCAAACAAATTCTGGAAGTTGCCTCTTACCGTTCCCTCATCTGCAAACCTCCTGAGATAGTCTGTCAGTTCCGTCTTTAAATCATTGTATTCTGAAAGGCAAAGCAAAAGCAAAGAAAACCAAAAAAACAGTTAAGATATCCAGTTTTAGTTTAACACTGGTTCAAGCAAACAACTTGTTCTACTCCTTGTTATTCATTAGGTTTACTTCAGACAAATCTAGGCTTGAACTGGATTATTATTAATAATAATCAAAAAGACAAGTCCAGGTAAACATGAGAAGCCTAATAATTTATGAGACTAACCTATGCAGTGTATCTGTTTGTGTTGATTTCAGAGCAATGTATAGAGTTCAGTGAATGAATTAGTACAATTAATTTAAAGACACTGCAAAAGCCAGCGTGGGTTGTGGCAGAAGGTCCCAGCCTGTAACTTGGGATTGGCCAACTGTCCTCTCCAGAGTGCAGAGCCCTCATCAAAGAGGGAAACACGGCTCCAGGTATAAAATACCTCAGCAATGCTTTGCCAATATTCTCTGCAGCAGACCTGCAGGGGACACCTGACTGGCACTCTCCAGACAGGAGACTGCCAAACAGCAGAACAGGGTAAGATAAATAAGCCAGACAGCATAAGTGCAAATTAATGTTAAATATACACATTAAATACATTACAATCAATACAATACCTAGGATGTTAAACTGGGTGAAGGTTCCCACATCATCTAGTGTCTCACTCGAAGTTGTAAGAACGGGCCAGAGAGGACCAACTTCTCCAGAGTAATCCTGGCTGAGGTGTGCAACCTGTCACTCATCTGCATGTTACTTCAAAAATAGTTTTGACACTACACTGCAAGACCTGATACTAATCTCTTGTGGGAAGCTGTTCAGTTAAAGTGTTAAGGCATATTCTAAAAATGAAGTTGTATTTACCACAGATGAGTTCCACTTGCTGGACTCTGTTCATGCTGTTAAGGGTGTCCATTAAAGGATCTCTTCTCTCTGTCTCTTGGTCACTGGTACCTTTGTTTTCGTAAGCCAAGACAGTGTCACATTCGTCTGTCAGGAACTGGACTTCAAGGTCTGAATACATTTTCTGGAGAATAAAGTAAAATTTACTTTTACGTGACAAAACTTCTCAGATGGGAGATGCTCTCCCCCAATCCTTTTTGTGTTCAAGGTCACAAAGAACAGCAATTATCAGGTAAATTTGTATCCAGCATTTCAGACATTTCCCCATAACAACTTCCAAAACAATCCTAAATTTAAACAACAAAGAAAATATAAACGTTTAGAAGCTTCTTTGTGCTATATTAATTCACAGGAATCAGTGTGTTTCTTTATGTGAGGTGAAGGGGTTTTTCAGTGTTTATATGCAGAGTAAGAACATTTACACAGATTTTACCTAAAGCTCTTCAAAGATTCTCTGGGAGCTCCTCCCTGCCTCTCCCAGATCAGTGATGGTAATGAAGAGAGCATACATACCAAACAGTCTTCACAGGTGCATAATTTGCTCCTCCAGTTTGATGGCCAAAAGGTAGCAGTATCTTTTTTCAAGAATGGCTTGCTTTGGAGCTCCTTCAGCTTGCACACTGGCTCCTCGCTCTTAGTAACTACCTGAATTAAAATGAGACTGTTCAGCACCCTGTAACATCACTTCAAAGACACTCAGTTCTTTCTGGCATGTCCATGTCCTTAGGCAAGACTTTTCTTTTGTCTCAAAGACATTTATTTTTGTAAAAAACCTGTATTACCATCCACATGAGGATTCTGATGTGGTTTTAGCAATCTCCACTAGAAATTTCAGTAGAAATTTCCTGCAATAGCTGTAAGTGTTTAAGAACTCAGAGCTGGACCATCATGCAAGTGCAGTTACAACACATAATACCCCTGTGTAAGAACAAACAGAAGTCCCCTCAGTGTCCAGGCCAGTTGGCTGACAAGAAGGGGTGGATCTAACCCATCTGCAAACAGACACTACATCCTTGGACAGCCCTGTCCCACATCCTACGCTGTGGTCCACAGAGACTGTGCGTCTGAAGTGTCAGTGACTGAAGAGGAACACGGGAACAGACTGGATGCATTCACCCCTTCCCTGAGCCTGTGCAGAGCGAGGTGGGCTTCACCTCACCTGTCAGCAGTATGAAGCTGTGCAGGTCAGAAAAGAAGGCACACTTTACCTCGGGACAGGCAGACCCAGAGCTGGTGGATGGTTCATTAAACTGTTCCGTTTGCTTTTCCTCCTTTGTGTCTTGGTGTTCCACTCCACTTTCTTTTTTTATTTCTTTTTTCTGCTCTTCACTTTCCTCAATCTTCAGGACAATCCCTTCATCTTCAAGAGAGTTCACTTTGGTCAAAGGAGGAACTGGAAGATACGTACCCACATAAGTGAAAATGCTGTGCCAGACAACATACAGCCACCACAGATGTTCTCTCTGCTTCACAGTGCAGTGCTGGAGAGCACCTAGATCCCCTCATACACTCTAAGCTGTCCAAACACACAGTGACCAAGGTATAGAAAGAAACTGCTCCTTCTTTCACCATAGTCTCCTTCACCTCTCATACCCCATTCTAAAACACTCTGCTTCCCAAAATCTAGGAAGCCCTAGGAGAGGGAAGAGGGTATCACAGTTTAAGATCTGATTTGCTTTACCTGCTAATTGCGATGCATAAGCCCATAGGAAATGGCAATGCTTCATGCAGGCCTGGCATACCATTTCATGGAAGTCTCCACTTTCAGGGGGAACTGCACCAAGATGCTGTCAGAAACAAACAAGCACACAGTAGTGAAGCATCTGCTGCAAATTAACAGACTCAACTTCAGGTTTAGAGGAAGGAAAACATCATCTGCCATCACATTTTCAGAACAAGCAAACACTCTTGCTAACTTTCTACAATGACTATTAGAACAATGTGAAGACTGGAAAGAGCTGAAAAAAATTCCAGGGAAAAACTCAAATAATTCTGTTTGTCAACACCCTCTTGTGCCTTCCACATACCCAGAAATCTGATTTCTAAATAATATTCTGCTAAACCGTCCCAAATACAGGAAAGGAGAAGATAGCTCTTGCACACTGCACATTTCAACTCTTAAATGACTTTTTACAATTCCTTCCTTACATGTAAAAGATTGTAAAGTCTTCATACTGATAACATACATAATTCAAGAATTAGCTCCCAAAGCTCTCCATAAACTGGTGAGAACTATTTGGGCAATCAAAAGCACTTAGTGGCTTTCTTTTTAAAAGCATTCCTTTAAAGTTCACAGTGTGCAGCAGAAGAGTTTTCATTCCCACACTTATACAAAAGAATCCAACAGTTTATCTACAGAACACATAACTGAAGCCAATCATCTTTTTTTACTATTCTTTGATCTTGCAACTTCAAACATGAAATTTCACTCGTGCCCTTCAAGGTACAAGAGGCTGAATTCTTACTGCTTACCCATTAAGTAGGACACTCACCACAGTGCTGGGCTGCTTTTAAAACATTTTCCCAAAATTCCAAATCAGGAACAAACAGCACAGTCTGTTCCTCGCTACTTAAATGAATTAGAAGTTTAAAAAGCATTATTTTGAATAAAGAACTATTCAAGTAGTTGATAATGGTGTGCCTCAGTAAGAATCTTTTCCTCACCAACTGTACTGATTTGAGTTTTCCAATTAAAGAGACAGCTATAAAGCTATTACTTTATTCCAAAGTGGTAACCTTCAAAAAGGTAGGACTCTTCCTAGTGTTTCTGGACTGGACAGCAGTGCAAGATTAGACTTTCAATGTTCCTTTGCATAGGAAGAAAACAAATACCTTAAAACTCATGTAATAATCTGTTTTGAGAACTACAGCAAACTTCCCAAGTAAAAACAACCACACAAAACTAACCAACACTAACTCATTTCTGTGCAAATGGCAATTCTGCTATTTATGGTTTCCTTACCCTTCCATGGAACCAGTCTTCACAAACTATGCATTGGATCATCTCATCTGGAATCTAGATGAACAGTCATATTATTAGCATTAATAGCAGCCTCCAGAATCTTTCACAAGCCTCAAACTGCAGTATTATATAAAGTCTGCTCAAGTGAATTGCATTTCCCTCTTCATTCCCCACAGGGAGCTGCCATTAATAAGTAGTTAGTGCTTCACCAGTCAGTTTGCTTCCCCCAGGTTCAACAGCTCATGTCATGTGTCATATTAATAAGGCTGAGGAAATTCCCATTTATTATTACAAAATCTGTTTTCTCAGCAGGGCAAGACTTTCTCACACAAAGAGCTGATAAAAGTTAATACGTTACTGGTATCTTTCTTCCTGTAAACAGAAATGCATGAACAGGCAGCTCAACAGAAGAAAGATACTGCTACTCATGATGTCATCAGGAATGTACAGGAATGCCAGAATCCGAACTTAACTGGTCACGATGCAGCACAGTACAAACTGCTTTGTTATGAAACAATTACTAATGACCTCTTCAGAGATGTTTAGCTATCTCTGCACTTCACAGAGGTGAGCTTATAAAATACTTTTGTTCGTATGTGAAAGACTTGTGCCTTCCTTATTCTTTAAAACACCTGACTTCTCTGACTGCAAACAGCACGTGCAAACCCAGTGCTGTGTTTTAGTACTTCAAACAGACAAAAAGTGTTCTGACTACTGTAAAGGAAAGCTAAAGCCAGTGCTACAAGACAGACTCTCCCCATCCCAGAAGCCTTGTGAGAGCACAGCTGCAGGCACCAGAAGCAGGTTCTGGTCTCTCCTAACACGTGCAATGTGCTTATTCTGCACTCATATGTTTCTCAAGATGATGAGAAACCCATCCCCTGAGGGAACTCTACAACTCCAGAGAGGGGAAAGCAGAGAACTGCAACACCACTTTGTCCAAATGATGGTTTGTCCTCCGCATCTGCCTTTAAGGTATATACATATTTTACCATAAAAAAAAAAAGAAAAGAATTAATTACCTTTATACAGTACACGACAACCAATATGGAAGTTAAGATTTCTTAAAGTGGGATCTTCCTTACGAAGCAGCTCAGTGACCACCCTTTACACAATGTCTTGCATAAATACCATCTGTATACGACTGCTACTGTGTTTTGTATTTCTTACCTCATCTTCAGGATCAGGATAAGGTCTTTTACAAGTACAGTATAATCCATAGAAATTGTCATTATATTTATTTCCTGCATTCACCTTGCCCTTTTCCTGGGAGGAAGGAAGAAGTGTCTTAATAGACAATGCAGTGAAAAACAAAAGACAGAAAATATGCATAATCTGGAAAAAAACAATTTCTGTTCCACTTTAATTCCTAAAAGCAATCATTACATTCATCAGCCTGAATATCCAAGAAGAAACATATTATCCAGACACCTGTGCTGTAAAGTGAGCAACAAACAGGGCATGTGAGGAATGCTGAAGTTGAAAAACAAAAACAGTCTGCCCACCTTTGTAACAATTGGCAACTGTGGTGTCAGACAGATTAATGGACAAATGCTGAAGTTCACTTAACCTGTACAACTGATTTTGCACTGGACTGATGCAGAAGGAAAAACCACTTGATCCATTTCACTAAATGGATTCATTTAAATGAGAAATGGTAACACGTTAAACTTGTCACACCTGTCTCTGCAGGGATCACAGCATGCAGATTAGCTGACTAGCTCTGGATCCCTCCCAGTTCTCCCAGAATAAAATGGACATACACAAAACCACTGACTGTTTCTACATTTGGACTTATTATCCTGGTAGCAACACTGCAGGCAAACTAAGCAGCATCCTGTCACTGCTTCACAGATTACCAACTACTTGACAAGTTCAAAACACCCACCAAGTACGAAAGCACAGGCAGCTTAATACAGTAAAAAACTATCCCATCAGTAGGCTCTGGTGACAACCTGTCAAAAAATATTAGGGCACTAATGCCACCACAAAGAAGGAAAGGAAACTGTCACTTTGACAGCAGCACAGCCTTAAATCTCCTTAACGCAACTGCAAAACTGCAGCCCAAAAGATTCTTCTGAAAGCAGCTTAAAACTAATGAGATATATTAGTGCAGACACCTCAACATGCTGCTGGCAGCGCAGCAATTGCTGCATTTACGGATGACAAGGACCAAACGTTCCCCCTCCTCCCAACATTTCCCTTTGGTCCCTCAACAGTTTTATCTCCTGCTGTAATACTCCCACCTTTCTTAACTTGCTAGGAAGGTTGGAGGCGTCACATGAGTCAGCACCGGCTGAGGCGAGGCACCAGCCTCCCAGGAGTGTGTTATTTTGACTCTGAACGTCTGAAAACCCGCCTGAACTCACCGGGAGTAACTTGCACTGCAGATTCTTGAACTTGCTATTCCCACAGTCACAGCGGAAATTCCTGGAAAGAAAAACGCAGCGTTTCAGGGGGTTTTATTAACCGAGAACGCACTGGGTTTTGTGTTCATAACAATTCCCAGGAGTTTATTGGGATCCACGGGAGCTGTGAGGGACCCGCTGGCGGTTGAGGGGGCGCGTGCTGCTCCCCGCCTCCGCAGCGCGCGCGCTTCCCGCCGCCGGCACGCGAGCCCCGCCCCTCACCCTTCACCCCCGTCCCGTCCCGTCCCGTCCCGTCCCGTCCCGTCCGTACCTCTTCGTGTACAGCTCGAAGAGCCGGTGCGTGCCGTGGCACTCGTAGCTGCAGGCCAGGCAGATCCCCGCCGGCTCCGCGCCGGGCGGCGTGCAGGTGCTGCAGGCGTACAGCGCCTGCCGCTTCACCGCGCCCTGGGGGAGACACCGACCGCCCACGGAATGAGGGGGCGCCGAGGAGAGGGGGGGGCGGTCCCGCCCCGTGCCCCCGCCCCTCTGTCCCACCCCGCTCCCGGCCCCGCCCACTCCCCCAGCCCGCGGCCCCCCCCGGCCCCGCCCCCACCTGTGAGTAGCTGCAGCGCTCGTGGTCGCTGCCCCCCAGCACGGCCCGCGCCTCCTTCTCCAGCTCCTCGTTCTCCGCCAGCACCTCCGCCAGGGACACCACGGGTTCCTCGGCGCCGCTGCCGCCGCCGCTGCCCGGCTCGGCGCCCTCGGGAGCCGCCGCCTCCATGTCCGGGCTGCGCGGGCCGCGAAGCGCGGCGGGAAACGCGGGCGCGGGGAGGCGCCAGGGGGCGCCACGGCGGAAGCGGAATCTCGCGCGCCCCACGTGACCGGGGGCGGTTCGTCGGGGCCGGGCGCGCGGCGGGCACGTGACCAGCGGGGCGGGGCGAGCCCGGCACGTGAGCGGAGAGGCGGCAATGGCGGAGCCGGCGGCCGGCACCGAGCTGGTGGCGGAGCTGCGCGGCCGCGACGGGCGGACGCGGACGGTGCGGGTGCCGTACCCAGCGGCGGAGGGGGGCGAGGCCGCGCAGCTGCGCGGGCTGCGGGGGGCCCTGTCCGAACTGCAGGAGCGGGTGGTGGAGCTGCTGGCGCCGCTGGTGCAAGAGGAGCGGGAGGCGGTGGGCGGCGCGCGGCGCGGTGAGTGGCGGGGCGGGCGCGGCCGGGGCGCTCCGCCGGACACGGGACACCGCCGGCCGCTCACCCGCTACAACCCCGGCAGGTGCTGTCGGGGATGACGACGACGAGGAGGACGACGACGAAGAGGATGAAGGCGAGGACGAAAACAACGTGGACACGGCGGCGAGCGGCGATGACCCGCCCCCGAAGCGGACGAAGGTGCAGCAGCCGTGAGGGCGGCGCTGTGGGGCGAGTGTGCGCTTAGACAGCCCCGTTCCGCTGAACCGACTGTAAGTGCCCCGGGCCCGGTGCCCGGGACGGCTCCTACGGCGCTGCTGCTCCTGTTTTAAAACCGAAATGCCCATCCCAGCACTGTTTTGATACGGAAGCCTTATGGAAAGGATGCGCCTGGGCGTGAGCAGCGTGTTGTTTATGGGGTGACAGTGTTACACTGACAATACTTTTTAGCAAACTAGTTGACAAATACAAAACTTTTCTTAAAAGTCTGATTGCTACATGTTTTTATCGACTTCTTCCATGTCACAGTATTTCTCCATGTGACCTTAACTTTTAAAATAAAGCAATAAAGTCTGGAAAGTTATTTTGTCAAATATGAGCTTAAAATGGTACAAGAGAATTTGCATGGAGAGAAAGCAATATATGACCACTACAGTATCGAAATTAAAAAACATGTGTAGGACTCTGTCTATTCCTGTACAATGTAAGATTATTTTTCCCTACCCGAAAGGCTTAGTCACCCATCAATCAAGTATTTTCCTGGAAGAAGTCAGACAAAGTAGATTAAAAGACTTGGGAATCTTGGTTTCAAAAATTCAGGTTTCGTATTGGCCAGGAAAGTGACAAGTCAGTGTGACTTTGATAATTAATATTCCACAAGTCAAAAACCAGTGTTTGTCCTAAGCCTGTTTTCTCCAAATAGCTTTTTTTTCCCCTCATTTTTCATGCAGCATTCAATCTTTATATACTTACTTCCATGACTGAGTTTTACCCAGGTTGATTTTTAAGCTCATTTGGTAGCTAAGTCAAAGGAACATCACAGCTTAATATTCTCCTAATGTAGAACTCCCAACATTACCTAAAAACAAGAAAAAAGAAAGCAGAGCGATTTTTCTGAAATGCTTTCTAAAACCAAAATTGGACATAAACTAAGGGAAATGTAGTGCTGTTCTACACTGGTTGCTGTAGTTTATTTTAGAAGAGAAGGTATAAATACTCGAGCAACACCTGTGAGTACATTATGTGTAACAGTTCTTGGCTGTATGAATCAGCATAACTCAATCTCTCTGCTAAGCAGCATGATCTTTTTTTAATGATAATGCAGCATGCAGAATGCCATTAGTGTAACAATCGTCTTGCAAGGGGCAAGTTGTCAATGCTGCTTTAGCTCCTAGTTTTTGTTAGGTGCATCCCTCTGTGAACAGATATAAAACACTCCTGATAACCAGTCCATAGAGGCTGAGTCTTCTCTTGCAGAAGTTAACTGCCTGACTTAATAGTGGGAAAAACATTTTGGGGGTTTATTTTCATGTGTTCTGCTGGCATAATTTTTTTATGTATTATGGAAAGTGAGCAAATCTTGGGACTTGTATACAGAGGACAAAATATGGGAATAAATTAATAATTTTTATGAGGACAAAATTGTCTGCATTCATTTGAAATGGGTGAGGGGGAGGGGAGTCAGAAATGAGGTCCAGTAAATGTATCATTGCCATCTTTATGTACTCTTATTCTAAGAAAGTATTTTATTGGCAGATAGGACAGAGTCATATCTAAGGAGAAAAGACCAACTCGAAAGACTAGGGAGGTTTAGTTGCTGAGGACCTAGGATGAGAGAGTATTACACAAATTAATTCTGATTTTTTGTCAAGCTGCAAAATCTTAAAATGATAAAATGCTTAAAGTGTTGTGGGGTAGATAATTTATTGCAGGAAGTGGCTTATCAAAATGGCAAAGGCAACGCTAAGTACAAAAAAATAGCCTCATCTTTTATGAGCTCTGTTCTGTAGCTTTGGAAGCTTGTTGTACAGCTACATCTGAGAGCAGCATTTTCCCTTTTCTTTCCTTGTCCCCCCTGCAGACTTAACACCCCAGCAACGGTTTGAACTGTGGGAGGGCTGAAAAGCAATGTTTAATGTTAGGCAAGAATCTGTGGCCTTTACATATATGTAAGCAGTCCACTGGCACATCAAGGGCTGAAAACCTCTGGTCTAAAGCAACAAACCCTAACTTTACTAGCACAGGAGTAAATGCAGATAACACTCCAGTAAATGGGATACTTTTTTCTGTCAGCCCGGACACAGGAATATGCTGCACCTGAGCTCCAGAAAATACTGATGAACATTGGGTCAAAAACAACCACTCAAGTTTCTGCCTTTTAAGAATCTTTTCTAGTCCTTATTGTAGCCACAGAAGCTTTCATGTGATGAAAAGGGCACTGGAACTTCATGGGACCTTATGCAATTCTAAACTTTAAGTTTGCTTGTGACTGAAGTGCCCTTAACAGAGAACTTCATTTTTCTGGGAGTTGTTGCAACGTTACCTGGCACAGGAAAGTTTAGCGTGATGCGGTTTCCCACTCTCCCAACCCCTTTCAGGACCTACCCTACAGTTGAGTTCTGAACTCCTTCTGGGGAGCCCCTAAATCACCTGTGGCCCCTGCATTGTAGGTAGAGGGGGTAAGCTTTGATGGAAGAGTGATGGCAAATCCTTCATCTCAAGAGAGATGCAGTGCTTTTGTACCTAACCAAATTTCAGGCTGACACAGAACAGGCTCAGTTCACCACACCTGCACTGTTTAGTGCAGTTTGTATGCCTTACTAATAGAACTTGGTTTTACTAGCCTGAGGGGGCTCAATGGATTTCCTTACTAAAATAAAGGGGGAGAATGCTGGTATGTTTATATTGAATTAAGAGCTGAAGTGATACTAAACTCTTGGTAGTATTTAGACAAGAACCAATTACTTCTACTAGTTACAAAACAGAAGAGCAAAAATGTCAAAGTACATCTCCTTCACAAAGACTGGGATTACAACATACTGTTGTTACTTCTTTGAAATACTGAATTTGCTGGTTCAAACAACTTTGAGGCTAAATCCACAAAGGAATTTAACAGGTTGCAGTGTTCTGTGTTTAAAAAGTTTAAAATCAGATATAAATCTATGAGGCACACAGATAGTTCTGTGAGGGAAAGGGGCCAATCCCATTATGCCCAATAACTGGGGCATTGTCTAAAACTGCAAGACCTTTTCTATTTCCCAGGAGAAAGGTCCATTGTCATCATTTTCATTAAAGGGTTTGAATGCAATTCACCCATTGCAGCCCCTATGTAATTTCCACTCACTCAAGCTTATAAGTTCTTTTATACACAATGTATTACAAATATCAGGTTCTCTATTAAATACAGAGTAATCTGGCAGTTAGGACATCATGGGACTTAACATGTGGTAATGAGGCTAACACTCAGGGGTGTAAACAACTGAAGAGTGGTTTGGGGCACAACCACTAGCCAAATGTATTAGTCATGAGTACTACTCCCTTTGAGGACTGACTTGAGAAGTACCTTCTTATGTCTGTAGCATGTTCTTCCTTCCCAGAAGAAACCTGCACCATAGGGTTAGCCTTAAGGAGAGCTAAGATGAGTCCGTTCTTAAAATTTAACTACGTGATAAAGTTATTAAACTGCTTTCATGCATTAGGTCATATATAGAAAACAGGTTCTCAAAGACTGGCACATGAAAAGCAGCATTTTTTTAGAAACTAATAGAATAATAAACTAGAGAACATCCATTTAAGAAAACAATGGACTAGGCAAGAGAAAATAATAATAGGTATCCTGCACAAACTGGAAAGTTTTGTTCTAAGGATAAGTCAATCTTTATATTTTTAATTAAAAACCAAGCTTGCAGTTTTACTTTGCTGCTGGAAGAGACATGTCATAAGGAACATATTTATTGCAACTTACTTCAGTTCCAAGTTTGAAGGGCTGCAGCCTGATGCTGTGCTCTTCCTTAGACCGACTCCCCCATGGCAGGAAGTGAAGAACAGGCTCAGTAGCACTTACAAACAAACACGTGGCAGCCTGAGACGGGAAGGCACTGTCAGGTGAAGGTCAAGCAGCTAAAGAAACTGAGACTGCCCATGTGATGTTCAAGCAGTCTGCCAATGCTTTATCTTGAGACAAAATGCAATAAAAAGAAATCCAGGGTAGGTGGCATACAGATGACTATTAATCACCCTTGTGCTACAACTACTCACTTTGTTGGCAGAAAGTTAAAGCTCTGAATGATTACTAAGCTAGTAGAGTTTAGCAATCTTCTGAGGACTTTGTTACTGCTTCTATTATTCCAGCTTCTGCTGTAGGAAGCTCTTCAAGATCAGGTTTGAGGTAACTCATTTTCAGTCAAAAGACTATGAGCAAAAATAGCTTTCCCACCCCTAAGTGAAAGTTACAGCAATTCATCTTTGCTGCCTAGTCAGTGAAAACAACTAAATAGATTTGTATAAGCAAGTTCTAGCATAAGCTAATCTTATACTAGGTTAATGCCACTGCCCTAGAAACAGATTTGTGCCATTATCTGCCAGTTATGATCAAGAACTAATTGAGAAGTACTGTAGTCTTTAAAGAGGTTGTAAAATTTACTTGAGCTTGATTATCCCAAAAGCTTGTAGATTATGTCAATCTGTGTTACAGGCAGTTATCTTTTGTGATTCAGAGCTAATTAGCATTGATACTACCTACAAATCTTCATAATAATTAAGCTTAAAGTTATTTCACTACTTCTTTTTTTAAAAGACTACAATAAAACCCAATTTATTATTAATTTTTATAGTCTTTACTTACTCTGTCGGTAAGACTTCATCTCTTGATGTTCTCCTGGTGCCAAAAATGCTGGAAGCATCAGCAGAGCTAACTTTGCTCTTCTCCTACTCCTATTGTCTAGTATTCCTATACACTATGTTGATAGTTTAAACTAATTCTCTCCACTGCTGCTTTCAACTTTGAGCTGAAGTCCTTACAGACACAGCATTTGCCTGAATTAAGATTTTGTATCTTTCTGTAGTTAGTTGTAAAGCTCTGATGTCAACATCTGTAATCCAAAGCCAGGCTTCTGATGGAAAAGTCTACAAACACAAACCGCCTTTCTGTAAGACACCACTGTGCTCAGCACGTGCTCCACATCCAGACAGCTTGGCTCATCCCACCAGGCATGCTGATGAGTTTGCTAAGGGTCACATGCTTGCACAACAGAAACTTAGGCAGTTCTTACTACCATTTTCTATTTTTTATGCTTCCTCTTTAATTCTTTAAATAACTCTTTAAATAATTCCATTTGGACACAACATAACTGCTCAGATTAAAACTACGGCACCAAGTTACAAACAGTTTGGCCAGAGGTATCTCTCTGTTATACACAGGTGAAGAAACGACAAAGGGATTCGGTTTTATCCAGCCAGTCTCAAAACTCCATGCTACCTACAAGGGCACAGAGCATAAAAGGACAACAAAAAAGATGAACCGAACACACATCCTGAGGGAAGGACAGCTACAGCAGCTGGCAGCCAGCACTGCTGTCTGGCAACAAACATACACAAGAAAAGAAAACCAAAACCAAAAAAGAAAAGCCTTTGATATGCATCTGCGTTAACAGACTTCTGTTTATAAACTTTGAAAAGTTTTTATTTTATAGATAAATAGCATGGTGATTTTAAAAGTTGGGAAACAACACAACTTAAAAGCTCTGATTCCAAAAGATAATAACTACTCATAAGAGTTTATAATTTACTCCAGCATACTGAGATGGCAGCTCCCTCCTTTTCATATTGCACTTAGAACTCAAAACCTTCTTGTAAAGGCTACATTGTTTTCAGGTCCAAGCACTGATGCTGACAATTGAAATCAGTGTCTCAAAACATCTCCAAATGCAAGCAGAAAGTTTAAGGTGTTTTAACTGCCATGCTTAAACACAGCAAAACTGAAAATAGTGTTCTCTTTCCAAAGTGAGAGAAAGCTGATATTCCCAGGATTCCCTTAATGCAGTCAGAAATGGATTATCATTTGTGATGATTTGGTATGGACAATCATATACAGCTGAAATGATAATTGAGGAGTTTAGCTCATAATTCTTTTGGGCCTACTGCTTCTGAAGAGTGTATTTTGCACTGTTTTCATATTTGTAAAGTTACTTCCATCATGCCTGGGTCAAAGATTTAGTTATTCTAAGAAGTAAAAAGGGACAAGAGGAAAGAACAGATTTCACTCTTATTCAAAATATACAATACAGCAGTTAGACTTAAAAGCTATGCCCAAACAGCACTGAAAAATAGAGGTTGAAACTATGACAAGAAATCTCAGTGAAATTTCAGTGTGACAGAAGAAATTTGCATTCATTACAAGAACGAGAAGAAAGTAAATTACTACTTTGAATTTCTAGAAGGAACATGATTATTTGTCTTACAACCTGTTTCTAGCATCTCCCCAACCTAATACCAGTTAACTTTCCCAAATTCAAAGTTTTTCCTAATTATGTCAGTGCTCCCGGAACATGGTTTTGCATCATGTCTGGAGTGAAGTTAGAATGGTCATAAATGTCAGTAATTTTATCAAGTGAGATAATAGAAGAAAACATAAAAGAATTTTTGTGCAGACTACAGGCCAATTACAGCGTAAGCTGGTTTTGATGTCATAGGAAAACAGCTTAAAACACCAAGCTCCAGGCCTATGCCACTCCTCACTGCCTACTTACTACACTGTTGTGGTCACTGAAAAAAAGTAGGCTACCACAGGAAAAACAGTACTTTTTCCCTTTAAATGTTTGCACAAACTTTATTCTTTGCTTCCTGTTTTTATATCTAAACTTATTTTTTAAAAACTCATTAAAAACAGCACTGATGTAGATATTACTTAGCAAAAAGAAAACCGAAAAAGAATCGTGTTAAGTGCAGCTTTTATAATCACGTTCTCATTTTTTTTTTCCTTTTACATTTACCACAAAAGCAGCATCTTTTCATTGATTTTACTCCAAGGGAAAACATAGGAAATCACTTTTTTGCACAGAGGAGTAAAGCTGTGGACCAGAAACTCGTTTCCCCACAGGACGTTTCAGATGGAGTGTTGCGATTTTGCATCATTAAGGCAAAATGAGGAATACTTCCATTACATGTCACACAGGGCTCTCCCACTCTGGCTGCTTGATAGACCCATAATTAAAAAACCTTTATAGTTACTTTTTTTTTTTAAATAGAAAACAGTCACTCTCTTCATTGCTTATCAGTTTGAAAGAAAAGGCTCTTTCCGGCCTTCACTCAGAACTTCAGTCTTGTGATTAGATCAGGCATATGCAATTGCTTCAAAACAGCAAGAGAAACTAGAACTTGAGCTAAGTGTCAATCAGTTGTAATCTACTGATCTGATTAGAGGCCTTCACAAATGTTTGATGACGATTGCAAATAACAGCCAAGCAGATAGGAATGATGCAGTACCCAACAGTTTTGGGGTCAGCTCTTGTACAGGAATAGAGAAACAAGAACATCTGTAAATATGGTATTAAAAATATTATAGTCCACAGCCAAAAAGGCAAGGATAGCAGTCGTACTTTTAAGGAGTGCGTCCATGTGGTTCCTTCCTGTGGCTCCTTCGGATGTTGCTGAATGTGCTCCAGTGCTAGTTTGTTGTAAGTCTCATTGATTTCAAAGACATAATAAAAAGCCGCAGCACTTGCTAACAAGTACAGGCCCACACCAATCCATCCCATCCTCTGGCGGAAGTTCATCATTCTCCATGCTCTGCACCTGGAACAAAAGGTGACATAAACATTTAGTACAGCTTGGGAAAGAGGAGACACAGATGAACTTTGGTTCTTGTAACTTAACTTTCTATAACTTTTCATTACACATTAGTTTAAACAGCACACACAGCAATTTCTGAAGACTCAAATTCTCTCTGCTTCATAGAAAATGACAGTACTCTGCCAGTAACAGGTTAATGGTAAGGACCCACAGAGCTCTATCGATGGCTCTGGCTATTCTAGGGTCTACTGGCTGTCAGGATATACCCAGTCAAAAGACAGAGTGAACACAACAAAAGTCATCAATTGGATAGATTACTTACCCCATTTGCCCTCAGTGTGTCTAGACACAGGGTGGGATAACACAAGATTTTCTATAAATATTTAAGTTTGGAAAGTTCTTTGATGTCTGCAAGACAAACGTGCTGCTAGACAGCCAGTAACAGGAGCATCATTGCTTGTTTGTGGTGTAGCAATGTCCAGTTGTATTAAGCTCTAGCTGAGTGCCCATCTGTGAACCATGTTTTCAATTTGAACATCAGAAGATATGTACTAAAGGTATGTATTTGCACACATGAAGGTACTATAAGCGTGTTACTTGCACCTAATTGTATTCCTGCTGTCCCTGTGCGGACAGTTGCCACAGCCCTTCTGAAGGAATGGAGCTGCACACCTCTACTGTTCAATGCCTCGGTGCAGAACAAACCAGACACCCCTCAACTGGCACTTTTCAGGAAAAGCACAAATTATTGGAGCACCACAGATACTACTGGGCCTAATTTTAGCTGCTTCAAATCTCCAGCTGGCAGCATGGGATCTAGGTGACTGGAAACACTCTTCAATCCAGTCACAAACACTCCAGCTGAAGTACCTCCATACAAAGTCATCACCTCTTTCCCTCAAAACAGCCCTTGCTCAGGGCAGGGAGAACTACTGCAGCTGATTAGGGCTCCCCTAACAAACAGGCTTTTTCAGACTTTTGCTTTTCCTACCTTTTTTAAGAGAGGGGTAAAATCCATCTATGTAATGCTGTTTTAAGAGAATGCATTAAGCCTTAAAATATTAGAAAGAAACGCACATTTAAGAATGAATTATGCATACAGAACAATGACGATTCATGGAAGTGTGAGATTTTTACCATAAGTGATAAAAAAAATCACTACCCCTTTCTAAATCACCCTTTCCGAGCTCGACTATTTGGTTAGCAATCTTGAAAGGCTTCCTGGTTTTACCTAAGTGAAGGGTATCCTTAATCTTGACCTTACAGAATCTGGTCAGAGTAGCCCTGGAGAAATTGTTCTGGCCCTCACACTGCTGCATTCATGGTGGCTAAAACAGTCACGCATACAAGGATATTAAACACCTGGGAAAGAACAGTAAATACCTGAGAATACCATTACTTATGTCTACGATCGCTACTTCTTGTTTAGCTGATCCTTCTATATAACTTAACTGCATTATTTCCCTTTGATACACCGAGTCAATAGTTTTAGTAGGACACCTGAAAAATTTGTGTAAGGAGTTGTTAATCTACTGGGTAACACTGGAACCCCCGAGTCCACGCAGCAAACAAGCCGCTGGATGTTTTTTCCAGCAATTCAGCATTGCCAAGCTGGCTCACGAGTTGTCGCCTTCGAAGAAAATAAATCTTCGGAAGGCAATTACATACTGAAAGCCCAAGCACTATTAAAACAGTAGTGGATTTAAGAAGGTAAACAGCCGCGGATTTTGATCCTGCCCTTGAGCAGTGGTCAGAAGAGCAGCCTTAGCTCCGGGTTACACCAAAGGAGGAAACACTCAGGAGTTTTCTCATTCTTACTCTCCGTTTCCAGACTCCATTGTAACTCGCAGCTTTCGGGGACACCCGTGATGGTTACCGGACCCGTTCACCCCCACTGGGGTCTCCTCCCTCCACCGCCCGCCGGACCCGTGCTGCTCCAGGCAAGACGCGCCTCGCCGCCAACCGGTCCTTCCCCGGCGCCGGCAGCCCCTTACCTTGCTCCGGCGGAGAAGGAGGGAGCGGGAGGGCGGCGGCGGGCGGCCCGCTCCCCTCAGCCCGCGCCGCGGCGCCGGGAGGCGGCGGGTGCCGCGGTCCCGCCCCGCTGCCCGCCCGCCGCCATCGCCCCCACCGGCACCGCCGCCACTTCCGGCCCGCGCCAAAGGCTGCCGGGGCACGCGGCCGCATCCGGGGCGGGCGCCTTGGCCGGCCGCCATCTTGGCTCGGGCGCGCGCCACTCGTTGGCGGGGGCGGCTTCGTCCAAAATGGCGGCTGCGCCGAGGGGCTCTTGGCTGCCTCGCGGGGGGAGAGACCCAAACTGCTGTGTTTGGACAGGGGCTGTGGCGAGGGAAATACTAATAGAGGCTACTGTGTTGTGTAACAGCCTCCAACAACTGTATTTAAAAACCAGTATATGCTAATACATAAACATGGCTGACTGGCTTATTTCTATTGAATTAAGTTATTAGGAAATATTATATTCTTATTATCCCATGGCGGGGGGGATGGTGTTGGGACTAGATGATCTTTAAGGTTCATTCCAACCCCTTAACATTCTGTTATTCTATGATCTACTGGGTAAAATCCTTTAATGAAGCCAAAAGATCATTTAAATTAAGCAAAAAAATTATCCGGCCAAGTGTGCGCCATTCAGTGACAACACCACAATGATGTTGGGAGAATTTGTGTGTGCAGAACGTGTTTGCCTGAATTCAGGAACTGTGTGGTGTGATGTGCTCTGTGTTAGTTAATTCAGTAACTGCATAGTGTTATTTGTGAAATGAAAACTTATTACTAAATCATATTCCCAAAGTAATGAGATAACCACCATTTCTCATAGAGAAAGCAGCAGTGGCCAAAATTCACATTCATCCAACTGTAGTTAAAAAAAGAAGGCTAAAATAGAATTTAAAAAGGGATGTTCAATAAAAAATAAAAGATGCTAAAGCAATGGCATTTCTTTTTTTGGATGTAAATAAGTATATACGCATAGGATCTTCTGCCATTTTTCTTGGAGGATTTAGTAGGTATATGTGAGGCAGTATATAAGAGCTGCTGCAAAATTAAATTTATGTTGGCTTATCCTGCTATGTTTGGTGTTAAAATTCAAAGTGTTAGAGGCTGGCGTTTTGGGTTATATTCAGGACAGCTGATGACTAAGTGCACGAAGCTGCAGATATCATTAGTGAAAAGAGACACTGCTGAGAGCCCACAAGAGTCAGCATATAATATAAGTTCTCTGGCACAGAGCAACTACACCTTAGGCCATGCTGCTTTTTTAAAAAATTATTGCTTTAATCATTATTGAACTAAAGGCCCAAAAGTGACACAAGATGGCGCCCGGCACCGCAGGCAGAGCCAGCCTGAGCAAAACCCCGACTGCCAGGTTTTGCACTTGAATTCAGCTGAATGAGGATTTCATTACCTTTCGTGAAGTTTAAATAACCCGTTAGTGTAGTTCTGATGAAAGATGTCGACGTGAATAGCTACATAGCTAATGAATAGCTAATTATCCCTGGGACAGTTCTCTTGACTAAATTCCATTCTTTCTGTTCTTACAGGTGGTGAGGTCCCAGTTGATCTATAACAGAATAAACCTCTTATGGAGCTGACAGACTCAAGCATGGCTATATTGCATTTTCTTATTTTGAGGTTAGTGGTAATGATGGGAAATGAAATAGTTACCACAGAGAGCCTATTTTCTTTAAAATACCAACCTAGATGTCAAAGAGAAGGGTTTCAGTACAAATTAATATGCGACTGTGTGAATATATGGCTTGGCAGTGTGCTAAGTGTAAAGCCTACATTTGCACTTAAGATTCTGAGGAAAAGGGATTGGAATGTAGGACTTATTTCTACTTAGGAAGCCTGTCTTTTCTCTGAACTGTTGGAGTTGGAAAGGGAGGAGGGTTTATGATTTAACCAAGCAGGTTAAAAGACCCAACCATGGGTCTTCTCTTCTGTGTTAAGCATAGGCCTGAGACTATGGTTATGAAGAGAAGGATCTAAAAAAATCGAGGAGTTATTATAACAAACACAAGGCCTTTGAAAGCTAAGGTATAACACCAGAGAAAGTGATTTGTAATATTTTTTGGCTAGATCCCAATCTGCATAAATTCAGTGTTATGCTTAACCTTTGGCATAGTATAGGAAGGGACACAGCAAATAGCTCAGCTGAGGGTTTGATTGGTTAGTTAGTTTTAGCAGCAGCTCTTTGAGGGGGGAGGGAAGCGACTGTTCTCAGCTTTAGAAGGGTTTCAAGCTAAATTCCAGTCATGAGGGCTGTTAATAATAAGAGGAAAGAATTCGTGAGAACTGGTAATAAGGAGAAAGAACTAATACTCTGCATATTGAAATGAGAACATATACCTGGTGAGACTTAATTCAGCTTGCAAACCACAGGAGAAAACAGAAGTCTGTTCAATCCAAAGGAAATAATATGTCATGAATAGAATCAGAGAATTAATCATGGGATTTTGTGGCATTAACAAAGAAAAAAGCATTTCACTTAGTTTTGTCAGGTGGTGTATTTTTGTAGAAATACTGGGTTTATTTTGAAGGTAAAACAGAAAGGCATTGGGAGCAGTGGGGCTGGCTGCTCCATCAGGGGCAGGAGCCAAGCATGATAACACAGCTGGTAGGGCAGAGCCTCACTGCCCACAGTACCTGAGCAAAGCAAGCAGGACACACCACATTCAGCCAGAATGTACAGGCAAGCAACAAAGCAGGTCCAAGGTCAAGCTGGGAAGGCAGTCCACAGGTTAGGGTCAGGTGCAATGAGGAGAACTTGGGTCAGACATAACCTGGTGATTGTCATACAGATCCATACTAGTAAGAAAAGACTGAGCTCAAGCTAGGAAGTCAGTCTGTAACTCCAGGTCCTGATGAACATGGTTTGACACAGTCATGACCGAGCTGGAGACCCATACTCCTAATACATAGGTCAGGCATGGTCTGAAGCCCCAGGGCTCAGTTTAAGTGAGGCTCCTGAGCCCTTGGGAGTTGGGCAGGTGAGGATTGTTGGGCCTATTAAGGCCTGTTCCTGCACTCAGGATCCTGACAAAGTACATAGGATAAATGAGGGCTGACAACAGGAATCAGAAGGCTTAGTTGTAATCTTTGAGTCAAACAAAGTTTTCATAAAACAGTATTAATGAAAGGTCTTCACTAGACTTAGATTATGGCCAAAATAGAAAAGCAAAAGTAGAAGACCTGAGACAATTACCAAACCAAAATTAGTTGGGCTTCCAAATGGAAGGCAGAAGCTGAAGGACAGAATGCATCTTGCATTCTTTTGGGTGGATCTTTATGTTTATATTTAACGTAGTTGTACTAGGTTCTCATTGACAAGTAACTGAGAAGGGAGACTCTATTACAGAGACATTTCTGTCAAGACAGTATTTGCCTTCCCCTTTGTAGGACGCTGAGTTTTGATTCAACAGGAACACTATGTTCCCAGATCTTTTCCTTCTTAATCATCGGTCTAAACCACACACATGGCTAGAGCACTGGGATCCCTACAGACTCCATGTGTGCTGGGATTCCAAGGAGAAATCTGGCATAAATGAGGAGAACAAGGCATGAGCACATGTGTTTGTCCTATGAAGATCACACTCAACCTTAAGCCAAGAAGGTTAGACTAGTTTTAGGGTAGGGCTAAGTTGAGGAGTGAGGGATGAAACACAGATCTCCTTGAAAGTGCTCACTTGCTGGTTATGGAGAAGGAGGGCAACTGAAAGAAAGGAAGATAAGCTCCCATCTCTTCCTTATACTTGGAAGGTGGGGCACAGAAGAGCAAACTGAAGAACCACTGCTTTGATCAGAGAAAGAAAACATACATGGAAGCCCAAGCCTCACACGACATCTGCCCTCATCTCTAGCTGGGCAAACTCCCCTTTGCGTTACAAGAAGAGGTAGTGCTGTGTTTATAAAGAAATGCAGAAGGAAAAGGTTTTTCAGTGAATCTGAAGTAACACATCTGAAAAACTGAGGAGGCATATTGGGAAAATGCCTTTTTTTTTCCTTTTTTTTTTCTCAGAACAATGTTTACAGTACTCATGTGAATTTTTATCAGTGAGTGCATGAATGCCCAGTGTTTTTGCAGCTTGCAGCTGTTTTGGTTGTTAGATGTAGTTGCAGTGAATTTGATAGTATCCTGTTGTGGTGTAATAAGTTGTTTTGATCAGTTTCTTATCATTTACTGTGAGTCAAAAACAGTAGTTTCCTTCAATTCATATGTTTTATTTCATGTTTTATGAATCCTTATTTTGTGTTTTAGAACTTTTGTTTCTCCTGAAAGTAAGGCTACAATCTTCCGATTCCCCCTTTTTCTTAGGCGGTTATTTTTCTTGTACTATTGTCTTTCTTTGAACTTCTTTGTTGGAAACATCTGTTTTCTCAGAGAGTGTACCACATTTATTTGGGAGCATGTAAGACATTTTTCTATATGTTGGCATTTTTATATTTTATGTCTTCTCCTTTTGAATTGAAATAGTATATTTGCTTGGTTTGGCTACATTGACCACAAAAAGCAGAAATATTCAGTAAGCTGTGTGTAATCCATGGTGATCTTTTCCTCCTTTGACTTGCTTTATATGCTTTGAAATGTTGGGAGCTTAAATTACCTTAATCTTTAATTCTCAGTTCCTGAAATTCTTCTACACTTTGTTTGTTAGCAGCAGCCACATCTGAGTTAAGCTTCAGGCAATCATGTTAGCCAGGTCCTCTGAATACCAGCCATACTTTGTTCTTGGTTCTAGAAATATTTACCATCTTTCCAACAAACTTTTTTATATTTACAAATGGAATAGCTATCTCCTTCTCCCAAACATCCACAGTAAACATCTGTCAAAGGAAGACTTACACACTACTACCCTTTGTCAAAGTGCCTATAAAGAAATGAGTCTTTTATGAAGAAGGGCCTTGGCATTTTAGACTGAACTCTTAGTCTTCATTACACTGATGCTCCTTGTTCATTAGTTACCAGTGAATATAATCCTCATGTCTACATTGTCTGTGGTAAAACAATTTCAGCAAGAAAGAGATAAAATCTTTGCTTTTACCCTCTGTTTTCAGCCAGTTACAAAGTGTCTTCAAAGTTGAGCAAGAGCTGACAAAACACACGGAAAGAATATGGGCAGAGGTGGCTGGTGAC